TTGTCAAAATTTTGGAAAAGAGACATTTATGGATGTCCCATAGACAGAAATATTTCTCAAGTTAGCGTGGTTTATGACTCATTCAAATATAATTTATATTATAGACATGTGTTTTGTGAATGAAAAGGGTCCAAATTATACCCCATTTTAGAATTCAGTAAATGCAAAATCTTATATTGAATATTTGTTTTTATAACCATAGCAATGCAATATAGGACCAACCTCTTTTCTGGGGGGTATATGCCTTAGAAATGCCACCGTAGCCTAGTGGGTTAGACACTTGCTCACTAACTTGAATGACAATCGTTCAATCCCGGCATAGGTCGAGATTATACCTTAGTATTTTTCAATGCGGTTTCCCCCTGTCATTGATGCAGGTAAGAGGGGCTGTCGTGATAGAAACGTCTAGTCGTTTGGATGGTACAATAATCTAAGCTACAGGCTGTGCACGTTATAGATCGTTCGACAGTTGGAAATTGAAAAGAGCAGGCTAATGCCTCTGTCTTGACAAAATTTACCTCATTGCATACTGCATGGTGTTGCCCGTCTACATTGGCCAATATAGGTGCAGAAAAAGGAGGACGTAAAACTCCATTCATTTCATTTTTCTTTTTCTTTTTTTTATTTGCGCCTCATAACTGGCGTCTGTACCATGCTTCTATTAATATTAAAACAATAAAAATTATATAACAAATGTCTCGATTGATAACGACTGTCATAAAATACAAAAATATATCATTAAGATAATTGATAGGATCTGTTCGTGAGAGTCTAACAATATACCCATGTTTCCAGCACGACTTTAAATAGTAAAGATATTTTTTTGATTGCCCACCCCCTCAGACGATACATCATGCAGACCACAAAATACATCATAATGTCAGACCTTAAAATCGACATCCAGACTTCATGCAGACAGTTTCAAATTTAATCATTCATTTCAATCAAAAACGAATGTCACTCTTAAAAAAAAGAATAAAAATAGGTAGGTAGGTAGGTAGATGACAAGTTAGCATCCGTTTCTAGATAACTGATATCACAGACTAGGTAGTTGTTGGTAGATGACAAGTTAACATCCGCTTCTAGATAACTGATATCACAGACTAGGTAGTTGTTGGTAGTTGACAAGTTAACATCCGCTTCTAGATAACTGATATCACAGACTAGGTAGTTGTTGTTAGATGACAAGTTAACGTCTGCTTCTACATAACTGATATCACAGACTAGGTAGTTGTTGTTAGATGACAAGTTAACGTCTGCTTCTACATAACTGATATCACAGACTAGGTAGTTGTTGGTAGATGACAAGTTAACATCCGCTTCTAGATAACTGATATCACAGACTAGGTAGTTGTTGTTAGATGACAAGTTAACGTCTGCTTCTACATAACTGATATCACAGACTAGGTAGTTGTTGGTAGATGACAAGTTAACGTCCGCTTCTAGATAACTGATATCACAGACTAGGTAGTTGTTGTTAGATGACAAGTTAACGTCTGCTTCTAGATAACTGATATCACAGACTAGGTAGTTGTTGGTAGATGACAAGTTAACATCCGCTTCTAGATAACTGATATCACAGACTAGGTAGTTGTTGGTAGATGACAAGTTAACATCCACTTCTAGTAGATACTGATATCACAGACTAGGTAGTTGTTGGTAGATGACAAGTTAACATCCACTTCTAGTAGATACTGATATCACAGACAGTTGTTGGTAGATGACAAGTTAACATCCACTTCTAGTAGATACTGATATCACAGACTAGGTAGTTGTTGGTAGATGACAAGTTAGTATCCGCTTCTAGATAACTGATATCACAGACTAGGTAGTTGTTGGTAGATGACAAGTTAGTATCCGCTTCTAGATAACTGATATCACAGACTAGGTAGTTGTTGGTAGATGACAAGTTAACATCCGCTTCTAGATAACTGATATCACAGAATAGGTAGTTGTTGGTAGATGACAAGTTAACGCATGTTTTAAGAGATATTTATTGTTTTTTCTTACATTTAAACATTTTAGGTTTATTCATGTGTTAAACTCACTGACTAAGTTGTTTCTACTTGGAATGAATCTGCTAAAACTGTTTTGTTTTATTCTGTAGAAAATTCAAGATAAATATAATAATTGTACTTTGAATATGATATATTTTAATATTCAAATAAAAAATCAAAACAATAAAATCGGATGGTAATATTTCACTAGTTTTGTCTGCAAATATGATTTAGGTCGCTTCAATGTCTAGTCAAAATGATTTCTATGGTTTTCAAGTTTTCGACATTCGTGATAAAATGTTCGACATTTTCGGTATTAATTCATCATTAATTTGAAAAATTCAGCAAACTTTGAAGCTTTGAATATAAATTATCAGAATTTTATAAATAATATACCTGTAGCAGTGAGATATCACCTGTCGTTAATTTAATATATTTCATCTGATCATGATGAATAGTCTGACGAAGTATTTAAAGAATGTAAATATCATTAAATAAACAAAATGCACGCAGGGTTTAAACCCTCCCCAAAATTCGCTCTGGAGGCAATCTCCGCGGTTTTCCGCGCTAACAGAAAAACGACCGCATTCGCGTTCGCGCCTGGTATAAACGACCTCATACAAAATCAGGTTAAGCAATCCAATGCGAACGCCGCGTTTGCGTTCGCGTTCGCGGTCGTAGTCGCGCTCAGTATAAACGGACCTTTAAACTGATAATAAAAATCGCACAATAAAAATGAAGATATTATTGAATAGATCTCGCCGAGCACAATAACTTATTTTCTGGTCAAAAAGGTCAACAAAGGTCAAATTAAAGAGATATGAGTCTTGTAAAACCTATTCCGTGTTTTAAAGTAAAAGTTCGAAACATATGTAAAAAATCAAAAACAATCCCAAGTAGGCTAGTGTAATAATTTGAGTAATACAGAGTAAAAATAAATTCACGAAGATAATCAGATATGTAAAACCAATAGATTTGTTACCAAAGTTGTATAACACGCTTAACACCCTGTCAATCATTTTAACACGTTAGGACTTTATGAGACAAAACCATAAAATTTGTATTTATTTTTTAAAATTTATCCAAAATTAATGATATAAATTTTCATAGCAAACCATCCGTGTCACGTATCGTTTAAGAGAGAATTTAGAATGCATTCTAATAATGTAAACCACATTGATGTGGGATAAATACATTTGATGTTAGGACTGGAGTTGAAATATTTCAAATTTTATTACAAAATATGTTTATGCATTATTAGAATTTTAAAGCCATCAATAATCTGAAAAAAATCAAGCTTCTGTGTTTCTTAGAGAATGTGGTATAGTTGTCCACAGATGCAAAAATGTCAGATTGGCTGACTGGGTAAAATCAGGAGTCTAACCTAGAGTTTCCACAGTGGGGCATCTTCACAATGGTCAAGGTCTTATGAACTTCGATTTGATTGAAATTTACGCCAGCCATCACAGCCAGATCCAGAGAGGAAATGATATAATTTACAATAGGTTTGAAAGAATAGATTTAATTTGAGATCAGAGCATCTTAAAAAATAGAAAAAATATATAAAGATAGTAAAAATAGACTGGTGTCATTCTTTCCAAATCTGATCTGGATAACTTACCTGGGATCATGTTAAAGATTTTGTTAATGTTCTAAATCCGTAAACAAACTCAAAAAACACAATCAATAGTTAACAATTATTAGTTAACAATTATTAGTTAACAATCAATAGTTAACAATTATTAGTTAACAATTATTAGTTAACAATTATTAGTTAACAATTATTAGTTAACAATTATTAGTTAACAATTATTAGTTAACAATTATTAGTTAACAATTATTAGTTAACAATTTAAAGTTAAAAAGCAAATAAAATTGGAAAAAGATGAATAGCACCAAATGAAAAATCACAAAATATGTGAAAACATTTAAAGAATAATGAAAAATATTAAAGGGATTTTAAAGAGTTTTTCTAAACTGTTTATGTATATCAGGGATAGTGATAGTATCAATTTGCATCATTCCAATTTTCAATCAGATGTCTGTAGTTCTATCCCTTAGAGATAGTGACATGGTTAAACACTAAGTTCTAGTGGAATAGCAGGAACCACAGACATCTGATTAAAAATTGGAATGATACAAATTGATGCTATCACTATCCCTGATACACATTAACTGTTAGAAAACCTCTTTAAAATCCCTTTAAATGACACAAATGTGAAGAATCAAACAGTCAAATAATTAAAAATTAAAATTGAAAAGTAAACAGTAAAAAAAACAATCCTGGGGTCTTATTCACAAACTTCATATTTTAGGAAAAACTGTCATTTATTTTCTTAATATAACAATATTAAAACTCAAATTCAGTGATTGACCAAATTATTGAAAAAATGGGTAAAAACTCAGATCCTGCACCTAAATGCCAATCAGATGACTGGAACACTAAAATCATTTTAACTTAAAATATAGACTTTAGGAAATACTGTAATGTGATCTATGAATCATACTACATTTTAAAGGGACATACAGGCCATTTATTTGACCAGTTATACTTTTGTCTCAGAAACTGGAATTTTTCAGCTGAGCTAATTAGTAATAGTGTTCACAGCTCACTGTAGAAATTCGAGCCTTCAAATCTATGTGTGTTCAGAATTATCTGAGTTTAATTGTTAAAATAATGACTCGTCAATTTAAGATACTCTGTGATTTACTCTGTCTTTTCTATATATCACAGAGTATCTTAAATTGACGAGTCATTATTTTAACAATCAAAGTGAGAAATAGTGAGTAAAATTCCTAGTTTGAAGTATTTCTTAAGGAATTATGTGAATTTCTTGTACTTCTGAAGACTATTTACATTCTAATCAAGACTAAAATCAACCCTCCAACCTGTCCCTTTAAATCAAGTTTATTGACCAATCAGAAGAGGAGAATACTTAAATCATTTTCATTTTCAGTTAAGTTTGTGTGTGAATAAGACCCTAGAAATAAAGAAATACAAATCTAGACAGGACAAGCGTAGGTCAGTCCACTGCTACTCTTAATCTGTTGAGTAAGATCATACTCGACTCCCTGAAGAACGAACCTCTCTACACATCCACGTAAACTTTCTTTACTCACAGGATCGGGGAATACCAGACTCGTGTCTAGAAAATACAACAGTTTTATTATTCAGGAGGGGATATGGTTAAGGGAAACATGAAGGCTGTCTTTAGACCCTAACTGAAGCGGCTATATCAAAAATAAAAGTTAATAGAAACAGACTGAAAGTGTGGTCTAATTTATTTCGCAAGAAAGCAACTAAATTAGGGAAATCTCGTCCTCTATGGGAATGAATGAAATAGTTTATTTTTATGATTAAGAGAACATCCATTTGTTAAAAGTCGGGAAAAGAGAAACAAGGTAAAAATATTTTTTAGTTTCGAACATGTTTAAGGGCCACGTAACAACATAAGATAAATTTTAAAAATTCACATACCTTCCAACCCCCCGATATAGACAGGTCTGTTGCGAAGAGATGGAGGATTTAATCCCATGGGATACGGGAACACCTGGTTAATGAACGTATCTAACTGTATTCCTACGCCTAACTGACCAATGGCTACAGTGATATTATGGCGTTCATTGTCACACACGTTAATCTGTTGTTCACTTACGGAAATAAAACTTTGACCACCGGAAGTCGAGCTGGCAAGTAAAACTCGAATCTGGAAATAAACAAAGAAATTTTTAATCACATTTTCATATGTTAAATTAACAATTGCTCATGCTACTAACATGTTTCGAATACAGAATCCTCATCAGGGCAGTTGGTATTCTAAATGGGGATAAAAGTTTCAAAAGATAGCTTGCCAGGCAAGGTAACATACGCCCACTGGCAGCTGTCAGAAATGATAATAGATTCTTTATTGACTAAATTGAATTTTCTCGTTTTAAAGATCTTCATAATGTATTTGTAGTGTGAATTTATACATATATATATATATATATTTACTGTCAGTTATCTATGCTGAGTTTTTCACAATATAACTCAAAAACCGTTCATCAAAAAATTATCAACTCGGAACAAGACCAAGGTCTCATCAATATAAATAATCACAACAAATTTCATTTAAATTGGATGAAAACTGTAGACTCTATTGATTTCACAAGAAATGTTCACTAATCGACAGATAGGGGCAATGGTAATATACATCCACATTTTTATGCATATAAAAATTGATTTTAGGCATATGAACAAAAGAGAAATTTATTCATGTCCTACTTTTTTATATCTTATTGAATTAATATTTATTTCTCATGGATGTAAAAATTTCTTCAGATCGTGGATGGAAAGTGGAGACACCCACAGAAGAAACATGAACTCTTACTTTCAATCACCCAAATCCTGTGCCTGTGCTTTCGTAACATTACTTAATTGCAATATTGCAACCTAAAATTCCTAATCTCTATATATATTGTATTTTTATTAATGTTTTAACTTACCTTTCCGTTGAGTAAATCTAAGACGACAAATTTACCACTGGTTTCGTAAATAGTTAATAGATTAACGGTTGTTTGAATGGATCTATAACCAAGAGTAAATGATAACTCGTTGCCATTTAAAGGATTTTCTGAAATAAAAAGTGGAGTTCTTTAAGTGACAATAAATAAATAACAAAATTTCCAACCTAACCCAGCAACTTTATCATTTAACATTTTGACTGAAAGTTAGATCATGTAAAGTTATTTTAGATAGTCAAGAAGATTTCTAATATTTTTGTATAAATTTGTGACACTAATTCATTTTAATTTTCAATCAGACGTCTATGGTTCTTGCGATTCCACTAAAGCATTTGATGAGGTCACCTTTGTGAAAGTGGAATTGCAGGAACCATAGACGTCTGATTGGAAATTGGAATGGTGCACTATCAGTGTCCCCGATACACATTAAGAAAACCTCTTTTTAATCCCTTTACTATGAGCTTACTATTACATAAACATTATTAGCTATGTGGACTCTCTGAAAGGGATTAAGAGGGGCTGACATGGAAAAAGCGTTTTAATCGTTTGCATTGAACAATAAACTGAGGCCCTGTGTGCTACAGGATGTGCACGTTAAAGATCCCTCGACAGTTGGAAATTGAAAAAGAGCAGGTTAATGCCGCTGTCCTGGCAAAATTTCCCTCATCGCACCCTGCATGGCGTTGCCCGTCTTCATTAGCCCACATGGTGCAGAAAAGTAGTACATAAAACTCCATTCATTTCTTTTCATTTTTTTCTGAAAGGGATGCTGAGTTGACAAACCTAAATACCAAATAAACCTTATTAACTATGTGGACTCCCTGATAGAGATACAGAGTTGAGAAAACGTTATAAGCTATGTGGACTCTCCAAGGATACAGAGTTGAGAATAACATCTAGACTACAAACCTAATTTGATGTATGAATTAACACCAGTCAATGAAACTCCATAAACAGCACTTTTATAGATCAGACCTGTTGCCTCTTGTCCTGTAGCATTCCTATAATTATAATATACAGATTGTATAAGTACTGGCTATGGAGCCTTATTGTCTTGAGACAGATTTAATAGTACAAGGTCTGATGACCAACTCATGGCAAAAACAGTGACGTTGTTAACAAGTTGAATAAATCCACCTCAATGGTCCTTCTCAGGTAGATCCAATTTCACTTATACCTTGACACATCTTCGCAATGTTAAACTATTACAAACGTTGTACTTATACCTTGACCTTGTAATAGCTTGACATTGTGAAGATGAGTCAAGGTATATGTACAAAATTCGTAACAGCTGGGCATTGTGAAGATGTGATACAAGATAAGTGGCTATTGCAGTCAAGGTATAAGTACAAACTTCGTAATAGCTTGACATTTTGAAGATGAGGTAGATCTAAGACGTATGTAAACTCATCCAATATGGACTATATTTTAATGGAATGATATTTTACCTGAGGTCGAAGGTGTATGAGACAGGATCCATTTTTAATTCTACGTTATAAACAGCACCAACAAAATTCACGTTTTCCTGTAACAAAAATACTTCATAAATAAAAAACATTTTGAGATAACTAATGTCTTCATATTTAAAGGGGAACAGTGAGTATTTTCGGGGATTAATTTGGGTCTTTATTGTTCTTTAATAGTCTTAAGAAGTACAAAAATTGCATAATTCTTTCAAATATACCTCCAACTAGAAATTTCACTGTCTATTTCTATATATGTATATGTGTTTTCTATAAATGTGTTTTCTATAGTTTAACTAAAATTCGAGTCTAATTTTTCACTTTCAAACGTGAATAATTATGGATACACATTGGATTTGAAGACTCAAATTTTGATGAGCAGTAAACACTATTACTGATTATGTAAGCTAATAAAATTCTGTTTCTGAAACTAAGATATGATTGGTCAAACTGATAGTGAAGGTGCTCCTTTCAGTCGGTAAATCAAATCTAACTTATTATTTTTCGTGAATTGGAATCCAGACGTTAAAGTAGTAATGATATTCTTAAATCATTCAAAACAAATACGAAACAACTTACTGTAATAGGTAAGATGGCTCTTCCAACAGCCTGGTTTATCCCTCCGATATAAACATTAGTATTAATATCTAAGGTGGAGGCTTGTGTTGTTTCTATAGCGTTATTGGCGTAATCTTTACGTGTTTTTTCAACCAATGCTAGGAAATTATTCAATCTCAGAATATCAACCTACAAACAGTGAAACGAAATTAAAGGTGATTTGTATCCAGGCATGTCAATACATTTTACTTTTTAGGCCCACACAATGTTGGAAAGGTATTGAACAATACACCTTAATAATAATTTCCTTATTTTTTAGTGTCAAATTAAGCAAACTATTTGATTAATTGGTGTTTCTAATGAATTATAATGTATTCTTAATCATATCATTATGTTCTTATTGTATATAATTAAGAGTTTTAACCAATCATAAATGTCCATGTATGTACAGTCTGGATAAACAAAACAGAGACTTTTGAACTTTCTTAATCAGTCACTCATTTGAATTCTGCTGGTGATTCTCTTGTAATTTAGCTAATTATGAATTAATTATGGACATGTGACACAAACTGGTATTTTTCCAAGTCATTAGAACACCTCTACTTTCTATTCATATAAGTATTAGCATTTTCATTGTCATAAATGTAAATAAGGGAACCCATCTTTAAAGGTGGAAATTTGAGTTGCCAAACTTTTTGGGTCTTGAAAATAATGGTGTCCAATACAATACAAAACTTACTTGATACTTGACTCCATCATTGTAGCGTAGATCTGATTTAAAATCATACTCAATTACCTCCCCTGTGGCCTCTAGTTTACCTTTAAATTTAGTATGTATGTAGCCGTCTCGTAGATATACCATGAAATATTCGTTTTGATTGGTGTTCTGATTGGCCATGTAATACAGGATACCATTGGGTGAGAACGATTGAAACGTTATAAATATCATAAAACTGAAAATAAATTTTAATCAGAAGTAAGTTTGTTATCATTATAATGATCTTTAGGTCTTTTCAATTACATGAAGAAAGATCATGTAATAAAATTCTGTATAAGCATGACAATTCCGTTAATCAAAATCTCATCCAGCAATTAAGTAACATATGTATAGTAATTGACGCCTCCAGAAAAGAAGTACCATCAGGTGTTAAGAAAAGAGTAAGCATGGTCTGTTTCGCGCGATACACTACCACAATGGTAGACTAGGATAAAAAAATCATAGAATAAAGACAATTCCTTCAATCAAAATCGATAGAAGAAGTATTATAGTAATGGACTCCTCCAAAGAGAAGTACGATCAGGTACTGAAATACCAGATAAATTCATGATTTACAAATAATTACAAACAACAATAATACATAATTCATCAAGCTATGTTGATAATATAAAGTTTGGCCCTAGGTTTATAACCAGTGAAACCACCTTTTTCGTTTGCTGTATGAGCCTCGTTCTGGATTCAATATGGCTGATGCCTGAATAAGGTCTATAATCTGTCATTTTCCAGTAACAGTTTGTAGGTTTGGAGAGGTTTCACTGTAATTAACAAAGGTTTACCTTGTTCGGAACATGTTGGCAGGGATGTTTGTCCTGTCGTAATTCAGATTCTCATTATCAGCTCCAGTAAACCAGACCCCAGCAGACGCCTCCAGATACGACGGTACTGTAACCGTTGCACAGGAAGGGGGTGGTATTGTTACAGGTGGAGTAGTTGTTGTGAAGGGGGGTGGGGGTATGAAACCTGAGGGTGTTGCGACCCCACTCAAATCTAAACCATCTTCTTTTACTATTACTCCAGCAGCAAATGGATCCAATAGCCTGTGGGAAAAAATGTATTATTGTTACCTTATATTATTTAATTTGTTGAAATTCTTGTGTCATATAAAAGTAAAATGAAATGGAGTTTTATATCCTTCTGTTCTGTATCTTATTGGACTAATGAAATGAAATGGAGTTTTATATCCTACTGTTCTGTATCTTATTGGACTAATGATATGAAATGGAGTTTTATATCCTACTGTTCTGTATCTTATTGGACTAATGATATGAAATGGAGTTTTATATCCTACTGTTCTGTATCTTATTGGACTAATGAAATGAAATGGAGTTTTATATCCTACTGTTCTGTATCTTATTGGACTAATGAAATGAAATGGAGTTTTATATCCTTCTGTTCTGTATCTTATTGGACTAATGAATTTACTGTAAGAATGCTCAGAATTGATACAATAACATGTTTAAAATCAGAGTCAAAATGTAACAAAATCTATACTTACACTGAGTTGACTTTAAGTTCTCTTATGGAACCAATTAAAGATGTTCTAGCAGGGAAACTGGCTGGTAGAGTTATGGTTCCTGGCACACCACCGACGTGTAGAGTAGGGGTATTGGTAAAACTGAGAGGACTCGCTACTAGATCCTGACTTGATTCAAGCACGGAGTTTCCAACAGTCAACTTCGCTCTATATATAAAAATTATAAAGGAATTTTAAAGAGCGTGAAGAAGGCCATGCTTACTATCTTTAGATTTGGTTTTATTATCCAATCAGATTACTGTATTTCTTAAAATCTTTGTTAAGTTTTGGAGAATAACAAACCCGTTCATCAAATGATATTACAGTTTTCTATATCAGCATTGACTGGGGGAGCTAACCAGGGCTGGGTAAAATGATTCAAATAATCGATTATCGTCTCTGGGAATTTATAATTTCGATTATCAATTATCAAATTTCATAATCAATTCTATGTCAAAGTTATATTTCCTCCACTACCCATTAACAAGTAGTAATCTCTTCCAAATAGGTTCCCTTCAGCACATAAAATACCCACAATAAACTATAATAACTGATCAAAGCAAGAATATACTTCTATAACACATAACATACCCACAATAAACTATAATAACTGATCAAAGCAAGAATATACTTCTATGACACATAACATACCCACAATAAACTATAATAACTGATCAAAGCAAGAATATACTTCTATAACACATAACATACCCACAATAAACTATAATAACTGATCAAAGCAAGAATATACTTCTATGACGCAAAAATAACCATGAAATTAAGAAATTTGGCATGGTTTTTTTTTTGTGTATTTAGAGTATTTCCATCTAGAATTATTTTGATTATTAATCAATTATTGATTGGTAGTCTGTCATCAATAATCGATCTCAATTAACTGACTCATCTACCCACGTACTGAATGTTTCTTCAATAATGTCAAATAACTGTCTTTTGAAGATTTAAAGATTTTTTAAACATGAACATGAACAATGGAGGGAAGGTATCAATAGTTTTAGAGCGTTTCAATAAAATCAAAATATTTGTCGATGTAGTCTTCTTCTGTTTTCATTTTTCTAAATATTTTTGTCAGAAAATGTTTGTAAATTTGAGAAATTTAAGTATTCAAGTAGTTAAGTATTTACCATGGATATATATATATATAAGTTTGACTTACTTGGGTTGTAATATTTGTAATTTGATATTATGTTGTTGACCGTCACTAAGATACAATCCAGTTGTCATGACTTCGAATATCTGTTGATTATTCTCCTGATATATTACGATAATATTTCCATGGAATAGACTAATATACAGTTTCCGAGTCTGAAAAAAACATCGAACAAAAATCAACTTTGCCTTTATTTACAAATTAATATGAATCATACAAACTCAGTGTTAAACAAGCGAAGCACATTTGCTTCGGCAAAATAAGATGCTTGTCCAATGCCAAGAATTTTCTAAAAATATAAAGGGATTGTAAAAAAGTTCTTTAGACTTGACATTGATGAAGATGGTCCAAATTCAGACCTTTATTCCTGGTATGTTCAATATCAGGAACTGTAAGTCTTTTGTCTGAGCAAAGTAAAAAGTTGAATCTTCTCCATTATTTTTAAGAGAATTGGAATATAAGCCTCAAAATAGTACTGTTAGTCTTAGAATATCTTTGTGTTGATAAAAATAAAAACATGAGCGCACATTAAGTCTTCAAAATTTGTTTTTATAGGACTTTAATAGGACTTTTTTGGGTTGAAACTTCTTAGAGAGAAATGTGTTTCTTTTTAATGTTAACATACAAAAGATTATATTTTTATCAATGCACAGCCATTCTAAGACTAACAATACTATTTTGAGGCCAATATTCTGATTGTCTTTAAAAATATAGAAAAATTTAAAAAACTTGTGATTTGCTCAGACAATAAGCTAAGTTATATTCTACTGATACTTACAGCACTGACAGCCTCCTGTATATAGAGTAATATAGATTTAGGTTCAGAAGTGATCAAGGTAAATTCTATCTGCTGTAACGCTGCTAGCGTCGCGGCTCCAACATTTAGTTCCGCTGTACTGGTAAGAGATGTAAACCTCATTCCATTCAATATCTACAAAAACATACATATTCATTAGGAAAACTTGATTGACAGGTGCGGTGTCAGGCAGAGTATGATTACTCTTCTAGACAAATGATATCACTTTTTATTATGAAATACTTACTCATTTATAATTGATATACTTGTGAAAAGTTCTTTAACAATATGCTATTTTGCGGTTCGGATCGTCAGTACTTGGTTATTCATTCAAAATATCAATATCGTATATATTTTGGTGTATAGTATACGAACTCTAAAAAGGGCTTGCCAAACCCAAAAAATCTTACGATCAAATCTCAATGAACAATGACAATTTCTATCATACGAGTTTGAGAAATGGGGTCCATTGCATTATTCTTGAAAATACATCTACCGTTAATAGCCCCGTTACGCGACCCTTCACAATCTTACAGCAACTAAAATTGTACTTGGTAGCCAGCAATCGTGTAGAAAACACGAGGAAAGGTCCCTTTAGATTACAAATTCACACTTATACCTTGATGTGGTGGTAGCATCTTGTAATGTATGATTATTTGTTGTCTGGATCATAATAAGTTATCTCCCTTAAGGGAACTCTTTGTTAGGGGAGTTCTAAAAAGTGTACCAGTACAATGGCTGAATAAATGTTAGAATTACAAATACAATAGTTAAATCTGTCAATACTCCTTATATGGGCTGGGCATCAATCCCTACACATCTCAGACGCCTTTCTGGTGTGACAGAGCTACAAATAAGAATTAACTTACAGTATTATAACAGCCTGAGGTTGACACACCAAGCGATTTGATTGGATTAGAACTTAACGATAATTCTGTCAAACTATCTACTCCGCTTCCAAACTTTAACTCTTTCAAACATCCAGCAAAATTTTTCTCACTTCGACTATAGCTAGAAAATAAAATATTTCATCAATAAACATTTCTTAAAATCAATATTCAAAATTCATTTTTCCTGATCATTCCAGTAACCCACTTGTGTAGATAATTTGGGAAAAATCAATGCCAAAGGCCAAAGGTTAGGTGGTAGAATGATTTCAGTAATCTAAGTTGTTAACCTTGTAAAATTGTCAAGAGGTTAAGACAAAGACAAGCTGGTAGAAAGGAACCTTGAGAACCTCAGTTGTTATCCTTGTAAGTCATGCTAAGAGGTTTGACCAAGTACAAGGTCAAGGTGGTAGAAAGGATCCTCATGACCCAGGTTGTTATCCTTGTAAAATTGTCAAGAGGTTTGAACCAGGACCAGCTGGTAGAAAGGATCCTTGAGAACATCAGTTGTAATTCTTGTAAAATTGTCAAGAGGTTTGACCAAGTACCAGGTGGTAGACAGGATCCTTGAGAATTGATATGAATGGAGTTTTACATCCTACTTTTCTGCACCTACTGTCAAATAGAGAAAACAGCCTGCCATTCTTACATTTGGCATCACCTTAAAATTAATTTTTAGACTTACTCGACATCATTGGGATTTTTGTTCACCCCGATTATAATATCCTGACTATCTAGTCCAACTAAACTAACTGGTAGAGCCCCTTTAATAATCTTATCAGGAGTAGGGGAAGTAACTCCATCTATCTTCGTCTCTAATTCAAATTGGTTAGCTGTAAACTGAGCTATTACCTGGAATTGACGATAACGTTAAATTATACATGTAGTTTTGTATTTCGGATAAACTGAGGCTCTTTGTGCCACAGGTAAATATTTAGCATCCAATCAAAGCTCAAATCAAATAATTGAATAAAAAAAAAATCATTTCGTTTGTATCTTAAAACACTGCATAAAAATCTTGTGTTAGGGTGTATTGAGACGAGTCTCAATGAAAGCACTGGCCTAGGTCACAGAGCAATAGATAAGTCTATTAATTATGTGAAAATTAGTTAGTCATTAGTATGATTTTAGTTGAAAAGACACAAACACAAAAATACACTGCATGTTATATAATATACTGTATATAGTCATGGTACTAGTCCTGAAATAAGTATTCCCTGAAATCTAACTCAGAAATAGATTAATTTATTGATAGAACATGATACATTTATATTAACTTGTGTGAGACTCTGTGTACTACTGATGAAGGTTTGGATAAAAACACAATTTTTGAATGTTATTACAGTTACAGGTTATATGAAAGGTTCAATGTTTAATCCTGACAAGATCTAAATATTTCCAAATGATTTATGACCTTGGCCTCCATTTATCAGTGATGGACAAAAGAGTCTTGGTATTCCAAAATGCTGATGTTTTGTGAACTACAGCAAGAGGTTCAAAGTTCAAATACGACTTTGTTCAAATCATTACATTATGATCTATTATCAATAAACCACGCCTAATGTTCCACATGAAATGAAATTGGGCACTTTTTGCAGATGCACCATTTTTTTGGACCAATCATACCTGTCATTTTAAGATACTCTGTGACATATAGAAAAGATATATATAGAAATAGTGCGTAAAATTCCTAGTTTGAGATATTTTTTAAGGAATTATGTGATGTTCTAGTACTTCTGAAGAATATTTACAAATATTCAAGACTTAAATCAACTCCCCAAAATGCCACATCTAAACCTTTAAGAAATCAATATTTACCTGTACCCACTCCCCTGTGTTGTATTTCTTCTGACTTTTGGCTGTGAACATGTTGGCACTCGTACCATATTCAAAATTCACGTTACCATCTTGTAAAAACAGGGTGTATTTGGTTAACTTGTCCGAAGAAATAACCAATAATATCGCAGCATTTGGGTTAAATGTTCTGAACTTTATTGTCAAGTACAGCGAAGATCTTGCTGCTAAATTCAGCGTGGATTGACTCAAGAGAAGATAACCTGAACCATCAATGCTGACACCTGGTGAGAGATTATCAGGCTTGGTTTGTAATGGTTGACGACAACATTTTGGTTCCCAGTTCAGATCAATCGCCTCCTGCCACAAGTTGACATCATTTCCATTGAAATCAGCTTTTTGAACGCAGCCCAAGAAATTTCTTGTTCTAACTTTGGTAGTCTGGAATAATGATATGGGCTTTTTATTTTATTTTCTACTTAATGCTGGTAATTTCACGATTTTGCTGAAAGGACATGATATATGCAGATATCCAATAAGCTCATAGTATATAATCTAATTTTTAGCACAAATTTTAAGTAAGTTTTATACCCATTTTTTAAATACTGTGCTTAAAGTCTTTTGCTCCACTTTGTATTTAACATCTGCCCTACCTGTTGAGTTGTATAAACACCAACAGACATCTAGTGAGCTAGTAGATTCTGGCTGCTTCTTTTCCCACGAGAAGTTACCTCCCTCACCCAAAGCAGTGTGATATCCCCACCCATTTTTTTAGCCCCTACCAGTAAGTTGTATAAACACGACCAAACATCAATGGAATGTTGATCAGTAAATTCTGGTATTGGTTCCTTATTTCCGTCACTGTAGCCTGCTCCTCCAAACCATTGATTGCGATCCCCACCCTCCTTCTTTGTTCAGCCCTACCCTCTGCCCTACCTGATATGTAGAAGGAAGACCACCAAACATTAATGGACTGTTGACTAATAGATTCTGACTGCTACTCTTGCCTCGGCCTGCCATTGTGGCAAGACCTCCAGTAGATAAAACTTTTACAGTTAAATGGCCACTGTTACCATATCTACAAATACAAAGTGTTAGATTGTCATACATCTTTCTCTAGACACTTCTGTATATAATGGACACAAATACAATTTTGTATAGAAATGCTGAAAATTTGAGAAATACTGTAATTTAACCACTTGAAAGAACTAAAATGGACTAAGACGAAATACCAAAGTTAAAGATGGATTTATCATTATCTATACCTACCTTGAAGCTATGATCTTGGCCCAACATCCATCACAAATTACAGCTGGATTCTCAATTGTCACTGGATCCAGGTTGGTGTTATAATCGAACGTAACTTTACCAGCCACTAACTCAAGCGAGAGTTCTGCACCAGAATTGGTGTTCTCTGTGAAAAATATCAAACCGTTGGTAACTCCTGATTCTTTTCGGAATTCCAGAGAAATATCATTATAATTCTGATCAGATGTGGTAATAGGGTTCGTCACGGAGATCGGTGAACTGCCGTTAAAATGGATGGGTTGTTTTAAAGTTTTCAGTTTCGATAATGCTGTAGCTATCTTTGCCTTAATGCTTGTAACTTTACTTTCCAACGATTCTTTCAGAGTCTGTGTTTCTGTTTTTAATCCGTTAACGTGTTCTATTTGACGATTCATTGTATCAATGTTTGTGTTGTGGGTGGTCACTGAAATATAACGATATTATTAGATCTGTGACAGCCCGTCGCCAGGAATGAATTGGTGCTGGGGCTCAGATTTTGTTCTGAGAAAAAAGACCCCTAAAACTCATTTCTGACAATTTTGAGCTGCCAAAAACATATCAAAATCTATATCTGTTTGATTTTGTACAAAGACACTGTAAATGAATCAATCTCTGCTGAACTGAAGAAGGCTTTGATGGGGTTTAATTCTCACTTGCTGGGGCCCAGCCTCCACGGACTGCACCCGAACGATGGGGCTGCTGTGTTAGCACTTTTTTAGACTCAAATTACAATGTGGCAGTGTAAGGGAAGAATCAGAAATAAGGTGAATACTTACAACTCTGTTCTGTATTAGTTATAAGTTGATTACCAGTAGCTGATAGATCTTTCAGTGTGTTTATCTGACTCTCTCGTGTATTCAGGTTACTAACGTGGGCATCGCTAGTCGCCGTCAGTCTGGTTAACAGTTCTTCAGCTTGACTGACAGCTACATCACCCTCAGATACCACTTGGTTAACTGTGTTCGCTGAAATTATAAACGTGCATGAATATTCTTTCTCTTGAATCCTTGACACTGTTCAGTGAGTTGGCCTGCTAGCACTTACATTTAAGTTGAAATTCAGAATTCAGAATGTCCTGATCATGATTGTCAAATATTTTACAGAGCAAGAGAATTTCTGTCTGCTAAAAGACTTCCATTTTGTATATGTATTGACTCCATCTTTTACATTTTTAGACATGAAGACACCAGAGTTTTATCTCCAGTGACTGACTGAAAACTGACTGAAAACTCATTTATTAGGGTGACTACAGTAGGCTTTGCATTAAGATTGACCAAGTTGTGTCCATTCTAAGAGGTAGTATTTTTTAAACAGGAATTGCAAAATTTGAGACTGAAATAGGTAAGGTGCAAATTGACGCCAACAGTGTTGTTAAGTTTTATTTGTGAAAGACAAACCTTCTGATGTTGTTTTAAGCTGATTGGCGCTAGCTGTCATCTGATTGATTAATGTTTCTACTTTGTTCCAGTCATTTACAGTTTCTACCAGGCTGGCATTGGCACTTTCAATACGACTCTTTAACACTGAAATCATAAAAAATCCAAAATGATGTTAAGATTGCAGGATATTCCATTCTCTAAAGCAATATTTGATACTTTGTTTTAAAATCTGTTTTTAGTATCTTTTGACAGTTAATTCACAAGAAAATCTCCCTCTCAGTTCGATATTCTATGAAAGATTTTATCCCAATGAGTTCATTACCTTGAAATAAAAAATAATATAAAACTACAATTTCTAAATTTTAGGCCTAATCAACAATAAACAACAGTCAAACTTGTATTAAGCAAGTGGTCAGGGGGTGTTTAAAATTGGACCCATATTGAAGGTCGTTGCTTCAGATGAAATTTCAAGAAGGCATCACTGTTAGTCTGATTTTAGACAAAGTTCTCCATAGATCAAATCATTTTATTATGCTCCAAAAGTCCCAAAAGAAAAGGGACGTTTCATTTAATATGATCAATTAGCAGTAATGATTGTATTTGGGGTCAGGGTCAGGGTCAGGGGTCAGTGTCAGTGTTATGCTTAAAATTGGAAGCTTACTGACGGACAGACTGTACAGTGATATCTGAAAAATATTATAACTTAACCGTCTATTACATTATCTAAGCCATTTTTAAACCTAAGTCCCAAATACAAAATAAAAAATCATTTAACAAGGTACAGATTTGGTTAGGAAACTTTAAAAACCCACCTTCTGTACCATAATTCAGAGAAGTAAACTCTGTTCTCATCTGTTCGCTGGCTAATTTCGCTGTATTGGCTAAAGTTTCTAAATTCATGACACTTATTCCTGCCATCATTGTTCGTGTTTCTTCGATAGTTTTATTGGCGTTTCCTGACAGATTCAGAGCATCGTTTAATAATGGTGTAACTTTCTCGTAGCTATTTATAGCATCGACTGCATTATCTCCCCTTCCTTTTACCTCTAAAAATGTCCTGAAATGAATTGACTCAAAAGTCTTGCCTTGTTTTAGGATATGAAACATAAAATGACAAGTTGACTTGTAATAAAGGAAAAAATAAATCACACACTAACGTGCAAGTTGTCGTATGATTTATATTTTCCTTATTTTAAGATACAGATTTTGTTAGTAGAGAGCTTTAGACACAACTCATTGACCTCTCAGATGACTGGAACACTAGTTTGCAATGAGGTGAAAGTTGCCATGACAACAGCATTCTAGGGATCTCGTTAGCAACAAGCCTGTAAGTAATTGAGCCACCACGCCACACCATTGGTTATTTACTGAATGAAATAGAGTTTTACATCCTGCATATCTGCACCTGATTTGGCTACTGCAGCGTTCCCTCTTTGATTTTCAATTGTCAAGGAATCTATGTTAGTGGCATCTTCACAAAGTCCAGCTATTACAAACTTCATAGTTATACCTCAACTGCAATAGCCACCTTTCCTGTAGTACGTAAGTTTGTAATTGCAGCTATTTGGTTGGATTGTTCGGTTGTGAAAACACCCAATCAAAGTTCTTGACTGCAGTCTGTAAACAATATGTCACCATGTTTATAGTCTCTCTGTCGAGAGCTCTGACTGGCTGTTTTCCCTAACGTACAATCCAATCAAATCTCTAAAACAAAAGTGAGCACCGCAGCTTCCAACTGATAACTTACTGGTTTAACAACTCGGCAGCATTCATCAGACTCCTAGCTGTAATTTCAGCAGCAGCTACTGTCTGTACCTCGGCATCTCTGGCAGTCTCAGCTGGTCCAAGAGTTCTGTTTAATTCCGCAGCGCCATTTACGAAATTATCATAACCTGAGATATAGCATTAAGAGAAGACATATTGTACAATCATTAAAAAGAAAAAGAAGCACACCATTTTTTACAAGGATAGCAACTTGTTCCTGAGGATCCTTTCTACCAGCTTGTCCCTGGCCAAACCTCTTGGCATTGATCTTACAGGGGTAATAAAAAGATTCACCAAGGATCTTTCTACCAGCTTGTCCCTGGCCAAACCTCTTGGCATTGATCTTATAGGGGTAATAAAAAGATTCACCAAGGATCTTTCTACCAGCTTGTCCCTGGCCAAACCTCTTGGCATTGATCTTACAGGGGTAATAAAAAGATTCACCAAGGATCTTTCTACCAGCTTGTCCCTGGCCAAACCTCTTGGCATTGATCTTACAGGGGTAATAAAAAGATTCACCAAGGATCTTTCTACCAGCTTGTCCCTGGCCAAACCTCTTGGCATTGATCTTACAGGGGTAATAAAAAGATTCACCAAGGATCTTTCTACCAGCTTGTCCCTGGCCAAACCTCTTGGCATTGATCTTACAGGGGTAATAAAAAGATTCACCAAGGATCTTTCTACCAGTAATCCTTGCATTGATCTTTCCCAGATCATTAACACGACTTGATAATAAGGAAAGATGAGTTATTCAAGGTCATCAGATTTTCACATGCCAACCGAGATTAGAACCCACCACCACCATTTGTTTGATGTAATAAAGTTAATGACGTAATGTGCAGGTTGTTAAGCTTTAACTGAGTTTAACATACCAGTTGGAAGTGGTTTAAGGTCGTCTGCTACAGCAGTCATTGCCACGCCGTTATAAATAGCATCATGTTTGAGCACAGCAGCTTTCCCACTGTCCAAATCAGTCTGGGCTGTTTTAGTTTCATTGTCAGCTTTCGATATCAGTTTACCAGCTTCTAAGACATTCTCTTCTGTGTTTGTTTTGTATCTCTGGAAAATACAGCAACTCTTGTTACCGTCTGGCTTATAACATTTCAGTAACTTATGATGATTTTAGTATTGCAGTCATCTGATTGGTCATTTACTAAAATTGATTTTATATCAAATTTTATTATCCAATCAGATTACTGTATATAGGGGTAATTGTGTATGGTGTTAATTTGCAGTAATGGAATTGAGCGGTTGTTCCCCTTCCCCCCTCCCTAAAATATTAACATTCGACTATAGGAGGATATTTTGTTTTCAGCACAGATGGAGACTTGAGGTTATTGTGATGTCATTTCATTTCGCACGATGTTATGAAAATTGTCATGACAACTCACCCTGGCAGTGGTTTGTTTTGTTCGGATGTCTGTTTCTTTGGCCAGTAATGCCACTAGCTCCTGTTCCTTATCTAGCACGGATTTGGCTCCCGACTGGATGTCCGTTTCTACCGTACTCGACTGTGTTTTTATATTATCTATCAAACCAGACTGGAAAATCAAAACAAAAATCAACACAACGTAATCAATTGGGTTCTGCAAAATTCCTTCAAACTCAAATGGACAAAGATATCAAGAATTAAACTTTGAATCCAAAGTCTTGAGTTTTTCTATTCAGACGAATTTGTTTCCTCTTTCAGTTTTTTTGGAAAATGCCATAGTTTTATCTAAATTGGCATAATCTGAATCTGAAAAGAATTCTGAAGCTAGGTTCTTCAAAATGCATGAGTGGTTTCTAACCTAACAGTGCCAAAAACCTTAACAGATATCAGCAGAATCAGAAAATAATTACGAAGCTAGGTGTCTGCAGAACGAGTGAGTGGTTTCTAACCTAACAGCGCCAAACACCTTACCTGTTGACTGACTTTAGTATCCATACTACCAACCCTTGTTACATCTTTTATCTTGGCCAGAACTGCGTCTGCCTTCTGTTTCTCCGCGGAGAAATCTAGACTAATACCACTGCCATCAGAACTACCTTGGTTCAATATCTGAAAGATAATGAAATAGAGTCACATATCCAACTTTTATGCTCTAGTTACGATAATTAAGAAAGGCAATGTCATGTAGTGTGCAATGAGGGAAATTCAACCAGGCTGGCAGTATTGGCCAAAAGCTTGATATTGTGTTAACAGAACAGAATTAAACAGACAGGTTCGCCATCTGTTGGACCAATTCTACAGTAGTCTGAGAAACAAGAATATTTTAGCTGAGCTAATCAGTGTTCACAGCTCACCATCAAAATTTGAGCCTTCAAATCCATGTGTGTCCAGAATTATCTGAGTTTGAAAGTTAAAATGACAACTCGTCTTTTCTTAAGACTCTGCCATATACATTTATATAGAAAAGACATCTATAGAAAAAAAGAAAGTGAGGGTAGTGTAGGCCTACTATAAGTATTTTATGCTCCCCATCATTGAAAAAACAAATTAAAGATCGAACCAACCTGTGTAGCCGTGGTGTCCCATGTTGTCAAGGTTAAATCATAGTTCGATGATTTCTGTTTGACAGCTGAAGCATTACTAAGTACCATATTACTTTTTGTTACCATGACAACAATTTTATTATTTGCTGCGGTACAGTCGTTTTTATACTGTTCAGTTCCTTTTTCTAAACGCGTCACCTGTAAAACGAAATGGAAAATTTAAGAAATCTCTTTTTAAATTTAATAAGATTTTCATAACAATTTCACAACATAGAGAAGTAAATCAAAACGACTTGAAATGGAGTCTGGATTCCAAAATCTTACTGATACTAAATTGGACATATTTCAGATATCTTTACAGACCCCTTCATATTTCACTTGATAAATATCTGTACCCTTTTTAAGAATTTTTAATTGTTTTGTATATAAAATCAGGACAGTAAGTTTTGCAAATAAAGGTAAATTCAACAAAGGACTTTAAGCGTGCATATGAACAAAAAAGGAAACAGAGCTCCATTGGTGAACTCTGAACAGGGTCCGTCTGTTCCAATGACGACGTAAGAGAAGGTTGACAGAACATTGAAGATTTACCTCCCTTGTTGAAAGGGGCGTGGTTATCTTGTCAACTGTGATACGTCAACTCTGGCCTTAATCGAACGGATATGAATATTCAAAATGTTCACCTCTTTTCCTTTTTCCGCCATTTTAAATTCTGTCTGCACCTACATTTTTCTCAGCAGATATGTAATGAATTCTGAATCCTTTTCCAAATCTGTTTGTTTTATTGAACTTCCTGAGCGTGCAGAATTCACCAATCGAGCACGACCATGGAAAATCTTACCTGTGACATGAGTTTGTCTATTTCTGTATTACTACTAGTAGTTAAACTGGAGAGATTAGCTGTCACACTGGTTTGAGACGAACCACCTCCTAGTCCTAGGTTACCCAGGGTCATATTTAACTCTGACTGCAGATTACGTAGCACCATGTCTTGTTCTTGTATCCCTGAAACTTTCTGAGTTCCGCTCCACAATTCTGCGTATCTTTCGATCTGTTTTAAAGTGTCGTTACCTAGAGACTGTTCACACTCTCCACATGCTGAAAGAGTTAGAATGAGAATGAAAATAAATCTTACGAGCTACTTTCTACTATTATTTGACCAACAATGCCATGCTGACATTTTCGTAAAGATACTTAACATTGACAACAGTTAGACAAGGTGTATTTTTTATCCAAATGACAGGACATATTTCCAGCCTATCAGGGGGAGCCTGGTTGAAAAATCTATAGGTTAAAATATAGGACAGTACTTGAATCTATGCTTGAATGAAGCTCAAACCTCTACACACTGATTGTACATGTACATGTATGACAATTTAAGATTTCTAGAATCCTACTAGCTTGTCCTTGGCAAAACCTCTTGATTAGCTTACGATCTTCGACAATATCTTTATTAATTTGATATCAAATAGAGTGCTTTCAAAGCATATTCTTAGCCCCCTCGACATTCAGTCCTTTCCCCTCCCCCATCATTCAGGAACCCACATGTATGCCTTTAAGGGTATGGGAGCATGCTTATCTCAACCCCTTGCTTCCATCACTTTTGTTCTATTTGGAGAGTATACAGTACAGCTTGGTTGGATGGGACAAAATTTTTGATTCAACAAGGTCTGGCATCAAAGTATATCTGAGTTAAACCCCATTTCAACTCGGTAGACAAGTGACTTGATAAGTTTGTCACGTTGTTTAGTTTAGACGAGTGAATAATAATAACACAATGCTAAAATCTAAGAAACCTACCAGTACAGCCGGCTTCACTGAACCCAGAATAAAACTTCATACATTCATTACATTGTCTTCCACTTACTCCTGATTTACAGTCACATTGACCTGATGTCTTGTTACATGTCATCTGACCAGTTACAGTTCCAGTTACATTACAGTTACAAGCTACAATAGATATAGTGTTAGTTACATAATGATATATGACAAGATATAAGGCAAGGTGAATAAAACACAAGATAAATAACAATATTTTACAAGGATGAGAACTTATGTTCTCTGGGATCTTTTCTACCAGCTGGTCCTTCATCAAACCTCTTAGTATCCATTTTACAAGGAAAACAACTTAGTTTCTTAGAATATTTTCTATCCACTGACAGTAGGTTGACTGGAATAATGAGGAAAGATGACTTATTCATTATACTTTTGTAGATCGACCTAGATTAGAACCAACAACCACCATTTATTCCAAAGTAATGTACACATTGTAAACATTCAAGATGACTTATTCAAGGTCACCAGACTTTCACACACTAACTGAGATTAAAACCAGCTACCACCATTTGTTTTCCATGTAATGGACATGATGTAAAGATTATAATGCTCAAAGCAAATGAGTTACAAATTTTGGGCATTCAGGTGTGTTTTGATTAAATGGCCACAATGTATAGCAAGATTCCGATTGTCTGTCCACCTAGCACCATATTTGGAATTTAATTTTAAGATTGGCCATGTTTTATAAGAAATCTGTTACATTACCTTCACAAGGTTGAGTTGGTAAACCAAAATATCCATCTTCACAGGTATCACATTTATCACCCTGAACGTTAGGTTTACACGTACATTTCCCATCAGCATCATTACACTGTAACGTGGTACTTCCTGCCTCAATACAGTTACACGGTACACAACCTGAAATCAAAATATAATCTCACATCGTGTTTCAATACAGTTACACGGTACACAACCTGAAATCAAAATATAATCTCACATCGTGTTTCAAAATCCCAGATATTTGTTAGCATGGAAATATCATATCATAAAACCATCACCAATACGGACATCTTCACTTTCCTGGAACCCTGAGACTCCTCTAAGCAATTTTTAGTGTTCCAGTCATCTGATTGGTCAGGTATTATCTTGACCTATGCCAGGATTGAACACTGGACTTTCAGGTTAACGAGCAAGCGTCTAATTCACTGAGCCATCCACCACTGCTCCTTACACTGTAGGTTAAATGGACAAGGAAGAAACAAGGAAAAATTCTTGGAATACGAACCAAATGACCGGCGATCAGAGTATCCCCAGAATCCTGTTTTACATTTACTACACTGTCTGGTACCAACCCCTGTGTAACACGGACATTGTCCTGTACTGGTGTCACAAACTGAGGAACTTGAACCCCCTGGGGAACATGCACAATCTGAAATATATAATAAGACATATGACACACTTTATTTTGGATATCTTTAAAGAATTAAAGGGATTGTTAAGAGGTTTTCTAAAATGTGTATCAGGGACACTGATAGCAGTAATTTGAACCACTTACTTTTCAGTGAAATTGCAAGAGCCAAAGACGTCTGACTTCATGTTAATTAATGCTATAAGTGTCCCCGATACACATACAATTTTAGAAAACCTTTATTAGCAGTCGTGATAACAAACCTTCCTGGGTGCAGTTATCAAGATTCTTCAGATTCAGATTATTACCTGTGATATCATAATCTTTAAAACTGCTTCTGAGAAAACCAAAAATACGGCATCTATCATAACCCAAGACAAATTATTTCTATAGTAAAATTACAGCTACTATGAGATATCGCTGGGAAAAACAAGGCGTGAATGTGGTCTATACAGACTTTTGCTACTCAAAATTTATATAAACCATTAACTCACTGGCACAACTCTGAGATGTAGCATTTCCGAAGAAGCCATCTTGGCAGCGTTCACAATGGTCTCCGACAGTTTGTGATTTACAGTCAATACATTTCCCAGTGTTTTTATCACATGAATCGCTGTTCCCGTTACAATTACATCTTGTACATTTCCCAGTGTTCAATATGTTAGGGTTGCCATAGTAAAATGTGTCACATCTGAAAAAAAAGGCGTAAAAAAAAAATTTCAAATCCGATTTCAGTGTTCAGTCTGCATAATTAATTGCCCCATTTCTGTCTATAACATAGATAGACAAATTTGCAATGGTTGCTCATATTTTCAAATTAGATGCATAAAAAGTAACATTTTTTCTATTTGCAAGAAATTATAATGACAGACGGACTGGCAATATACCTTCGCATTGCCATTTCGGTGTGAAAAAAGTTACTCACTCATCGCAGAGATTACCAACATATCCAGTTTCACAGAATAGACATTTTATACTGCCTGACTCCTGTTCACAGGTCGAGTTGACAACACGTGGGGGATAACACATACATTCATTACAATCACTAGGTGTCCCTAGTGTAGCATCACCATAGTAACCAGCCTTACACATCTCACATTTGGATCCTGGAATAAAAAGGATGAAATTTTCTATATAAATTGGAGCTAAATAACTAAGATTACTTCGGAATATGTCACTAGCGAGGCAGGAATACTAGCACTATAGGACTGGGATTGTGTACAGGTACCAGTCTATCCCCCACCCCTTTATCACCCCCCTCCCCCTTCCCATCTCTACCTACACTGACCTGTAGTTTGATGTTGACAGTTAATACAGTCCCCAGTGTCAGGGTTACATTCTGTTGCATGGTTATTACATTCACAGGGTACACAGACCCCCAGGTAGCCCTTCTCCCCTACTTTATCTCGCCTGTACCCAGGGGCGCATTCCTGGAAAAATAAAAAACAACAAGCATGGTTAGTTCCCCACCATTAAATACACATGCATGATTAATGAAAAATGTTTAATTGTGGGGACACTGATAGCAATTTTCAATCAGGCATCTGTAGTTCCTGCAATTCCACAAAAACTAAGTGTTTGATGACATCACAAAATATGCTTTATCACATAAGAACTTTTGCTTTTAGTGACGTCATCAAACACTTAGTTTTAATGGAGTTACAGGAACAACAGACCACAGAAGGAAATTGGTTACTATCTCTTTCAATTACCACATCAAAACAAAAAAACAGGACCACCTCAAAACAAAAAAACAGGACAGAACTAAAAACACTTGAAACAGGAGACTCCTTTCAAAAACTTAGTGTGTAACAAATTGTAATTTGAACCACAAGTAGTACCCTTTAACTCCTCAAGATTCTAAGGTCAAAGGGCACAGTCCTTTTGACTACACAAATCACATTTACTGCAGGTATGAATGGAGTACAGTGTCACCCCAAAAAGTTGTACAGCTACAAACCTATTAAAATCTATAACTTGAGAGGCCTTATCAAACTTACTTGTAAAAATCACAAATAAAACACAATGTAATAAAGAAATAAAGAACAACTTTCACCAAATTGTAAAAGAAGAAAAAGAAAACTTCAATAAAAAAACACGTCACGTGAAACATAAAATATAGTTTAACTACCAATTACCATATGGAAGATACTCGCATCTGATTGGCTATTACCATTAATTAAAGAAAATACCAGACGATAAGAAAAAATCATTAATCCAACCACCAACATACACCAACCATTAAAACCAACAGAAGAAAATTCACAGCCATCTACCTCAGAGAACCACCCCTTCCTTTAGGGAACCAGCCCCACCCTTACCTCACAAGACGACCCAATGTAGCCTGTCCCACATTGACAGTTTTCCATCATGAGGTTCACCGAGCCTGTTGATTCCTTTTTATAATAAACCAGTCTATGTAACCTATAAAAGGTGGATGAAATAATCGATTTCGAAAATGTTCAAAATAACCGAAAATGTAAACTTATTTGTACTGTATGGATTGCTAAGAGGTTTTCTAGTTTTTTGGGTGTATCGGGACACTGATAGCATCAATTTACACCATTCTAATTTTCAGTCAGAAGTCTGTGGTTCCTACTAAAATCGCAACATTTTGACTTCATCAAACACTCAGTTTTAGTGGAATTGCAGGAACCACAGACATCTGATTAAAAATTGGAATGGTGCAAATTGATGCTGTCAGTGTCCCCGATAAATATAAAAAGTTTAGAAAACTTCTTTACAATCTCTTTATGTACAAATAAGGAATGTAGGAAGCCTAAAAAAGGGGATATTATTTGGGTCACTGTTATATCAATGTACTTGTTGTTTCAATAGTCTTTACCTATATTATTGTGCATACATGATTGTTGTGTAGGTAGCACAAACATTCAAACATAACTTGAAAGTTTCAAGATTTTAAAAATGACTTACTGTGATGTATGAGGTCCGTTTAAAAATGAAGCAGGTAAGAGAATATAATCCACGCTGCTAATGGCAAGAATAAAGTCACTTCGATTTAACGCTGTCGTTCCATCTTTCAACCACGATTTCTCATCAACCTTTACGCTAAGTTGAGTTTTATTGTCTGCGCCAGGTGCCCCAAAATCGTGAACATATCTTCCCTTCCGTCCAACCATGATGGCTTGAGCCGGACTCGCTGTTCCGCTACCAGTCGATGTGTACTGGATGTCAGTGTCTATATTCATACCATACAAATGGAGTAAGTTACCCTTTAAATCACCAGGAGCCATCCAATATTGAGGAGTTGTCCCCTCCTGAGTTACAGATAGATACATCGTGTCCCCGGATATAATGTTGATAGTATTGTTTACTAGCGCCCCCTGTCCATCACTCAGTTGTATAGAAGCTTGTAGTTTGCCTCCCAAGTTTGTCGTCAGTAGAGTTGAAGTCTGGAAAATAGAACATTGTAACATTGTGAACCAGGTAACAGCAGTAACTAGGTTGTTTCATTCACTCATAAACTGTATACAAAATATACCTAAAGATGGGTTCCCTTATTTCATTTATGAAAATGCTAATACTTATATGAATAGAAAGTAAAGGTGTTCTAATGACTTGTCTCATTTGTCCATAATTAATTCATCATTAGCTAAATTAGAAGAGAATTACCAGTAGAATATCAATCAGTGACCGATCAAGAAAGGTCAAAAAGTATTTTTTTTGTTTATCCAAACCGTACATACATGGACATTTATAAGTGGTTTAAACTCTTTAGTTATATGCAATAAGAACATAATGATATGATTAAGAATACATGATAATTCATTACAAACACCAATTAGCCAAATAGTTTGCTTAATTTGACACTAAAAAATAAGGAAACCCATCTTTAAAACTTGACTCATAAATACACAACAGTATACCACCTTTCATCAACTCTACTTTCAATTTGAGGAATATAGACAAAAGCCCAAATGAAAGCTCAATTTATAATTCATCAAAATAATTCTCAACTGATTAATAACATCCAGTCTGCATCTCAATACAAAGTTTCCTAAAAGGGGTATTCCGCTTTTTGGTAAAAAGTTTTGATTATCAAAAACATCTTAAATTATACCTCAAAAAAAACATTTTGACCTACAAAAAAAGGAGAATGCCCCTTTAATATCAGATATCATATATTAGTTTTAGGATGTTTATTTATATACATGATAGAATTGGGGAACACGTTTGTGTCTATCGTACCCATTCTGCTCATTCGACATTTTCAAACCATTTAAAAAGTCAGTCACTTACCCTAGAAAGACGCTGAGTACTGGAAGAACAAGACTGAGTAATTCCCATACAAACACAGTCCAGACACCCTGCATCGTTAGCCTTGTCCAGATAGAAAGACGTGGCTGAACATTGATCACATATCATACCTGCGACATTCTCCTACAAAATACAACACCAATTATAACAGCTTTAGAAAGAAACAATGACTGTATTTTACCAGGATAAGCTATGTTTCAAGAGGATCCTATCTACTGGTGTAACCTTCGGATATCTCTTGGCCAAACTTCTAGGCATTGATTTTAGAAAGATAACATCTTAGGATCAAGAGGATACTTTTCATCAGCTGGTCCATGACCAAACCCCTTGGCATTGATCTTTTCTGGATTATCCGTACCCATTTACAGCTGGGTCAACTGGGATAATCAACACTTTCACATGCTGACCAAGATTACAACCCATAACCATCATTTTGTTACTAATTAAATGGTGCCATGTAAAGTTTCCAATGCTAGAACAGACAGAAGCCTTCTCACAGTGGACCCAGCTTGTAACAGGTAGGCCTAGGAATTGAGAGCTCCAAATTTTCTACAACTGCTAGAAATGAAATAAAATGGGAGTTTTTCATCCTAATTTTTTGCTTCATAGTGAGTTAGTGAAGTTAGGCAACACCATACAGTGTGATATAAGGGAAAATTTGACATAAAACAAGTATTACATTACTTTTTTCCAATTTCAAACTTTCTGGGGCTCACTGACCTGCACATCCTTGACAACACTTTAACTTCTTAACTGGTACTAGTCCTACTGTTGATTCTTTAAAGGCAAGATTCTAACCTAAAGCACCAAAAACCCTAGTGTATCTATTAGTGTACTAACCTTACAAATACATTGTCCAGTAGTTTTAGCACAAACAGTACTGTTAGAGCCTACAGTAGAACATAGACAAGACGAACATCCACTGACACTGAACAGTTTAAATTCATCTTTACACTGGGTACATTTCTCACCCTCCACACCCAGTTTACAGGTACACACACCCGTCTTCTGGTCACACCCGGCTGAGATTGAGCCTGTCACATCACAACCACAAGGCTGAAAAAATAAATATTGGTGTTACAAATGATTTCTATCAATTTTCAATTATGTTAATTGAAATGAAATGAAATGAATTGAGTTTTACGTCCTACTTTTCTGCACCATGTGGATTAATGAAGACAGAGATGCTGTATGCGATGAGGGAAATTTTGCCAGGACAGGGGCATTAGCCTACTCTTTTTTGATTTCCAAAGGTTATAACAAAATACCTATTTAACAACAATATATACAATATCTCGTATGACTACACTTTACACTGCCTCGATTAACATTGTCTCTGAATACTCGAAGAATTATTTGCAGCATTTAGTACTACATACTACTGAGACTGTGCCTGGTGTCCAATCCTCGTTTCACTTCGATATCTGGGACATTGTTTATACGATCTGAGGACACATACAAAAACAGGTTGAAAACTACAGTAATAATTAAACTTAACAATGTTAATTCCTCACCTGACACCCAGCAGAGCTCCAATTCCAATGATAAACAGCACACGTATCACAAATTCTACCAATAGTATTAGGTGGGCAGACGCATTGACCAGTTCCCTTATCACATACAGAGTTACTTCCCTTACATTCACATGCTGGAATAGAAAATGTTTTTGATGTGGAAATCTCCTATAAATCTATAATCACAATAACAACTGTCAGGTATAAATGAAATTTGAACAAAAAAGAGAGATTATGTGCTATTTCCTGTCATAAACAAATACAAATATAAATAAAGTAATGATTTTAGAATGTTATTGATGGTTAGTTCAAAAATAAACTTAACTTTACAAATGAATAGAAATGGAGTTTTACTTCCTACTTTTCTGTATCTATTTGGATTAATGTGGACAGGCAATGCTATGCAGTATGCAAAATGGAAATTTTGCCAGGACAGCTGCATTAGATTTCCAACTGTCGTAGGAACAATAGCATAGCCTGTAGCACACACCGCCCTGGTTATTGTCCCATCTGAACCACTTAATGCTTTTTCATTGTCAGCCCCTCCGACCTGAACCACTAACAAGGGTAGGACTGGATAAATCAAAGGCACTATCTAGACTCATGATGGAATAAACCCCAGAACTTTCATGCAAATGTTTAACTCACATCGGCAGGTATTTACTCAACCTATGCCAGGATTAAACCCTAGACTTTTAGGTCGGCAAGCAAGTGTTCAACTCAAGGAGCTACCGTGGCTACAACTTACCTTTACAGCCAGTATTGGATAAATCATAAAATCCTGGTAAACATTCATCGCACTTTCTACCTCCTACCCCCGGCTTACACCGACATGTCCCTGAATAAACCTCACACTCCATCGACATACTGCCATCTTTATCACAGTCACATGACCTGGCTCCATTTAAATAATAGGTCGTCATGGAGAATATACTCGCCTTACATAACTTCTGAACAGCATCGTCAGTCCTAGAGACGAAATGAAATGAAATCTTTAATAGATTTAAAAATAACATTACCAATAGAGGTCTCCAGGACAGAATGAAAAATCTCAATATTTACAGGTGATATAGATCAGCTATCAGCTATTAGCTATCTCTGACACTTTTCACAACTAAAATCTGACATTTAGTTCATCTACAATTTTAAATGATGTGTATGTGTATGTGAGCCAGGCAGGGTTGCTTACTCTTCTAGACACCACTTTTCACTTACAATTGATAAACTTCTTCATGTGAAAATGTTAGCTGTTACCAATGTTTCTCCAAAATGTTTTAGATTTTGAGTTTTTCATTTTAGAATTGAGATCGTTAGTAGGCCTACTTAGTTTATTTATTTAACTTACAGCAGTCAGAATCACATAATGTATATAATTTCATCCTTTAAATCTTCCAGGGGGAGGGGGCGCTTTGGAGCTACAGAATTATACAAGGGGAGCTAACAACACAAAGCATTTAAAAACTCAATGTCCGTCTCATTTCTTGGGAAGTCCTGGTCCACCCTGGTCCACCCTGGTCCACCCTAGTCCACCCTAGTCCACCCTGGTCCACCCTGGTCCACCCTGGTCCACCCTGGCCCCTGCTGAACCCTATTTGACTTACCCAATGCTATTCTCTAGAACATTACAGACTGTGGAAAAGGATGGGTCGACTAACGAAGATAGAGGGTTAACAAACTCGACAGGGACAGCAACAATTTGATCCTGAAATATGAAAAAAAAGAGTAGAGTAAATATGAATTGAATGGCGTTTTAAATCCTACTATTCTGCACCTTAAGTGTGGGCACATGAAAATCTCCAGTCGGTCATTTTCCACGTCAATAATCACGTGTGGAGCATGCAATTGAAAGGAAAATGAATCTGATTGGATGATGATGATAAAACTACCAAAAACAAATATCAAACTTATAATTCCTGTCGGGAATGCCATAATCTTGTCATGAAAGTACGGCATGCGGGAGATTTTGCTCAAGAATTGAGTTGGCGAGAAAAATCGCATTCCAAGACTGCACGTGTGCCCACACCTTTATGGGCCGGAGACTGGCAACACCATGCAGTGTACAATTAAGAACATTTCTCCAGGACATGTTAAAATGTTGACAAGTTACATATTGTGATTGAAACATAGATTTCTGTTTTCGAGACCATCTTTCTGAGCTGATGCCACCCAAAAAAAACTGCCAACAGAAGAATCTGTACCAGTATGAGTTAGCCCAGGGGAATTAATATAAGTACAAACTTACTAAGAACATATCTCCTAGAACTCTAATAGTTACGGTGTAAACTGCAGGTTGTAAGGTAAAATTACGACTGGCAAGAGTATTAACGGAACACCATCCACTAGAGCATACTGGGAAATTTATCATTAATGGCGATGTTCCTAAAAAATAGATCATGATCAAATGTATACTTTACGTTCCGTTTTCTATTTGCTTTTATTTTAAATTTAGCCACTTTAGTTAGGAATTAAAAAGACCACAGGCCATCTTAAGACCTTACCCTATCTGAAAACTAAAGTGGCTAGATTAAAAATAAAAGCTAAAATAAAGTTGGCCATTGACGGTAAGAAATCTAAATGAATTCATTGATAACTAAGGGAGATATGGTTTTGAGCTCGAGGATCCAATGTGCCATTCCCTGTAAGATGGTAGTAGAGAATCAGGCAGCTCTGGCTTCTGGAGGTGGTTGAAGTGTTGTGGAAACTCTGACTAAATAAAATCTACTAAAAAACAGAAAGAAAGTTTGGTCTACTGTTTGACTAGAAAAGTAGCAGAGAAGCTGTAGTGATAAAAACATCAAGTGTTATCTGAATGTAAAACTCTTGATTGAAATGATGACAGTCTAAACCTCAACAGTTGGTATGAATTTCCACAAGAGTTTCATTTCTTGTTGAATCGTAAGAGCACAGCAGGTTGAAAGGCGAGAATCAAAACAAGTGATGGAACACAGACTCATGTCACTACCTGAAAGTCAGCGTTAAATGCAACTATATTATATAGATCAAATTGAAATCATCTCTGTATTAGGCAGGGAATGCTTAATCTTCTAGACATCTGGCCATGAATTCTCGAAATGATCTTAGCGCTAAGATGTCCCAGAATCAATGTTAGAAGATAAAAACCTAGGATATCCTAGAATCAATGTTAGAAGATAAAAACCTAGGACATCCTAGAATCAATTTTTAGAAGATAAAAACCTAGGACATCCTAGCGCTAAGATCATTTCATGAATACGGGGCCTGGATACCACTTTTTACTATGAAATACTTACTCAGTTATGACCAATATACTTCTTCATTTCGAAGTTCATTTGCTGTTACCAAAGTATTGCCGAAGTATCAATTTGGATTTCTGGTTTTGCTTCGCGATTCAGATTATAAGTAATTGGATTTTTATTTCCCAACTTACCTAAAGATTTGACCTCTAGTTGACCTGTAGATGCTATGGTAGTAGTATATCGAATGATTAGAATATATTCTCCTGTTAGCTGAGTTCCACCAGGAATAGCTAAGTTTACTCCTACTAAATTCTATAATACATGAAACGAAATAGAGTTTTACATCCTACTTTCCAATAATATTTCAGTGTAAAATAAGTTTCACACAAGGTTCTTCTGCCTCCGCAATTGAAACAAGGTACCTGTATCAGCAAAATTTATCAAAACTGTTTTGAATGTCAGCTGTATAGTAGAGGTGTCTAGATAATTAAAATCTGTACAAGCACAACAATTCTGTCAATCAAAATTCAGGAGTAAAGGTAGAATAGTATTGGACTCTTTCAAAGAGAAATACAATCAGGTGTTTCAAAAAATATAAGCATGGTCCGCTTCGCATGACACCCGCCACTACTATATCGGTCATGTGATACAATCAGATCAATTTATGCCTGATTAAACATTTGTGTACCCTACTAAAAAATATTCCCATTTGCTTCCTTATCTGTCACAATATTCACAAGAAATAGAAAGTTTTGTGTTTAAAAACAAGAGGTTGCCAAGCAAGATACGCCCACTTCCCTGATATATTTTCAGTTTATGAAGGGCAGTCACCAATCTATGTCAAATCATACCAAAAATACAATTTGTACAAGATATAATTGTTGATTTGTTAATCAAACACAGAAAATTTCATAAAATTTTGACATAAATTTCCAACAAATTTTGATGGGTAATATTATAATGTGGGCGTAGTCAAATGCTGATTTGATTCGTTAAGGCCTCAAAAATAGGGCACGGGAAATTGAGACTTTACTCACCCCTGATTTCAAATCAGCGTATCCATCTCCTTTAAATCCACCATATTGGGGTCCTCGACTTAAAGAAGCATCCCCTGTTCCGTACTCAAACTCGGCTGATATAAAATGAACATCTGGATAATAATGTAAATCACTCGGGCTGAAAATAAAAATAGAAATTGAGATGAACTGATGTGAATTGTTGAAAGATTTTAGACAAATAAATTTATAATTAATTGAAATAAAAATAACATAAATCTGGGTCAGGCAGGGCTGTTGATTTTCCCAACCAGGCAAGTAACACGTAAATCAAACACTACCAATTTTCATCTCAAATTCATGAAAAATCCCTAAAATTAGGCGTATATGCTTAGAAAATGTCCTGAAGATCAAAATGGTATTCACACAGTTTGAAGCTATGAACAGACATGACTGGCAAAATATGTTTCAATGGATTCATTAATCGTATAAAGACCAAACAATTTGTCAAATAAGGTCATGGTGAAAATTCTCAAAAAGGAGTGACTCAAATGGGTTTCGGAGCAACACCAATATTCAATGTGTGGCTCTAGATGTGCTAATATCCCATCTGAGAAACTATTGGGGCCAGATTTGTCCGGCTAGTATCACTCGTGAAAACATCCCATAATAGTTAAAAAAGGTGCAATGAAAAATTAAAGGGAAAGTTGCGCCATTTTTTTTTCACATTTAGTTAATGTGTCAATTTTAGTTTATGACCACTGGACAGCCTGGATCTTCCATATTTAATGTTGTCATATAAAAAGAAGAATAAAAAATCTTACCTGTCACATTTCATGGCGTCTATGTTCGTTCTACACGGACATTTTCCAAATGTTTTATCACAGGTCATTGACTGGGATCCACCTGGATCACATCCACATGCAGTACATCCTGGAAATAGATCATAGCTCATTAATTCAATCAATTTACTTCAAATATCGTTAGCTTGCTATGATAATATTCCAGGTAGTTGATAAGAGCATTGACAATATAATATCTTATTATTTATATGATATCTATGGATAAGAAACTATTATGAAGTGATGTCACGCAATGGTCACATTATGGTCAGGTTATGGTCACGTAATGGTCACATTATGGTCACATAACGACCATGTAATGGTCACATTATTTCATGTAATGGTCACGTAATGTTAACATAATACATTTAGTTATACAAAAATGTCAAGAATTATCAAAATAGGCTTGTCATGTACATGTATTTTAAGTTGTTCACATACAGTGTTCACAGTTCAAAAAGTTGTCTGCTAATAACTCAATCATGGGCACCCTAAAATACTTAAAATATCCCGATCTTCACAGGACATATAATACTGTGTTTACACTTTTTACCATGACCTTTTTCGATGGATCTATTAACCCTTTCAAAGCTAAACTCAAACTGTCCCTACCTTCAGCGTTATTAGGGTTAAGATTATAAAAACCATCTTTACATTCATCACACTGTCGATTCTGGACATTCTGTTTACAGTTACACTGTCCCGTGGAATCGTTTTCACATGTTTTATTACTACCAATAGTTCCTCCCACTTCACAATCACATGCTGTCAAAATTACACAATATAAATGTTGTTAGATAACCAGTGGCATATCTGGACCATGCCCCATCCCACCCCTCCCTCAGGCCACAAAAAATGAAAAATGTATTACATACTTCCACTTCCAAATGGTGTCATTATGCTGTTATGACCTTTGTACTTATTCCATGACTGTAATAGTCACCTTTCTTGTATCATTGAAGTTTGTAAATGAAGCAATTTGATTGGATTGTAGGCTTGCGAATACAACCAATCAGAGGCCTCCACAGGAAGTCTGTGAACACAAAGCCATAATGTTTATGTCTTTCTGTTGGGGGATCTGATTGGCTATATTCGCTGGCATACGATCCAATAAAATCACTACGTTCAATGATGCTATGGTCTGTAAATCGCAGAAGGTTCAGTACATGATTATCTGAGATCAAGGAGGCAGGACCTGTCACAATTTTATCAGCATCATCCCTTCATCTAGGCCTGGCTATATGTTGTGTTTTTAATCTCCCCCTGATTTATACTTAATCATTATAAACATCAGCAACAATATCTTAAATTTCACAAACAGTAAATGTGTATCTTGACAATATTAATAAGCAAGTATGGTATCAAGATGGTTGAATAAGCATAAGCAACTGTTCCAACAAAATACAGTATATCCTGCTCATGCACCCAACTTTATTAAACAATCACCTTCAATATGCGACCACAATAAAGTTCCCCCCCTACAACTTTTTAACATAAGTAACGATTGATAAGTGACCACCTTCATTACGTGACCAGCAATATCAAAATTATAATTGAAGATACACTGTTACACAAAATAATACTTACGTTGACAACCATCAGAGTTATCTGCTCTTAGATTAAAATATTCCTTTTTACACTGAGTACATTTCGTTCCTTCAACATTTTTCTTACAAAAACAATCTCCTGGAGCCTGAAAAAATTTTTCAAATATAATTTCTAGACAAACGTTGAAAGTTTAAAATATAGAAACTAAAAACAGGAATGTTATGTTATATTTAGTTTTAGGTTCTAGTAAGCTCAATTAGGTGATCATATAGATCAGTGGTTCTCAACCTCTTTCTTTCTATTTCTACATTTTAACTAAAAATCTTTGCATCAATAATGTCCCTAAGCACTCTTGTTTAAACAAATGTTCTGAAATACAGACATAAGAACAAGTTCTACTTGCCCAACTTCAGACTGGAAAAAGATCAGTTGTCTGAAGATTGCATAGCATGAGACTCCGAGTAAAACCACGATTCAAGTTCTGTTTAAATATCTTTAGCCAGATTTTTATGCATACCTGTCCAGCTTCTAGAGAGTTATCATTATTCATGATACAATCAGCCACGATCGACGATACTGGATTGACAGTGGAACCAGACATGGAACATTCACACGGGACACAAGCTGCCTCTTCTGTTTGCTGTTTGTCTATTGGTCGAAAATAATTCGTGGAACATTTCTCACAGTTAACACCTGAAATTAAAATCAAATGATCAAAAATAAACACAAAAAAATTTTAAATTTTCATTTCATCAAGAAAATTGAATAAGTATATTTTACCTACAGTGAAATCATTTCAGGCAACAAATTTTTAAAACCTATTTTCAGCTGGAGGCCTTTATTCAGTAGGATCTTAATTCAGGGAATCCTATTTTTCCAAATGCTTTAGTTTTATGACTTATAACCCTACATTTCAAAAGGCTTGTGCCATCCTAACCCAAGGGCCAACCCTATTTGAAAGGATCTGTCCAACCCCTATCCAAGGTCCTTTCCAAACTTACCCCCAAGGACCTACCCAAAAGGCCTTTCCAACCCTACCAATATTCTTACCAGTTGTATGGTGAAGACAGTTGACACAAACCCCTCCACCATTTTTAGTTCCATTGCCGTCAGTACTTTGTTTGAGGGCTGCTACACCCTTGTCATAGAAACATTCTGATGCATGCTGGTTACAATTACAGGCTGAAAAATTAAACAGAATAATTGACATTACAACTCAGGAAATTAATAATTGCAGTTTTATTTTCTTCTGTTTTTGTAGAATGAGTTGAATAGAATTCCCCAATTTAAGAAATGTAGTAAGGATTCAATTCCACCTTCATCTAGTACATTGGGAATTATTTTATGGGCGGATCTAGAGAAATCCTGAGGGGAGACAAAAATATGTCTCTCTGAGGTGAGGCCCAAAGGCCAAAAGCCCCTGAAGGCCTACTAAAGGCCCCCAAAAGCCAACGAATTTCAGATGGTCTCAGCTGAATTTTTAGCATTTAGACCTAAAGGGCTTAATTTTCACTACCTGGGTACCTTTCAAAGGCCTAGGGGAGGGGGAGAGAGGGGTGCATGGCCCACACCCTAAAGGGTACTGATTGAATGGTAGAGAAAATAATGGTATATGCAATAAATCTTATCTATCTGAAGCAGAACATGCAAGTTAGGCACAGGAATTGTGCTAATAATGCTAATGCTAATAATGATTTCATAATCATCGTAGTTTGGTGATTTCACTAGATTTTTTTATTCCGTAACTGGCTTTATATTCGATATAATGTACGTTCGCTACGGGAATAAACATTAGCACAGACATAATGTTCAATTTCAGAAAGAAAACAAAAGCTGGTATCTGGTAATATAATCATAAAATGAATGATAGTTGTTTAATATGCGAGTTTTTAATTTCCTTGCCAAAGCTGAGGATGTTTGTGTACAGTTAATTATCTCCCTTGACGCACTAAGGGGGAGATAATCGTTCTTAGATCAATCATCAGACAATAATAAAATAAACGATCTTTGAGAATCTCCATCTCTGATGGTTTTGTGTTGGAATTTTACTAAAACGGGATATAATCTGTATCTGTTGCATCCAGTATAAATAAAACCCAGCGGATAGATACTTGTGTAGAAGGAGAACCGACCAACTGTTTGGTAGAGATCATCTTCACAATATCAAGATATCATGAACTACGTCTAATACTTTGACATCATTATGTATCATTTTTGTATCAACTAACTTCGTAAAAAATTTGATTAGAATGGAAAATAATTGAAAATCTTGCTCAATTCACAAAACTAGCCCCATACCCCATGTCTCAAGGTGATTCCCTTCTTTGGCTCTCTCCTCATAGAAACAGTTTTCTAGATACGCCCCTAATTGGTTGGGTAGGGCCTATGTATGTAAAAAAATAAAATCTTACTATCACATGGTACGCCATATTTAAATGGTTGTTGGTTGAATAATGGTTGACAAGATTCGCAAAACTGGCCTTTAGTATTCCCACCACAAATACAGTTATATTCCATTGTATCGTTATTTAACTCACACCCCGTCTGCTGCCCGTTACAGATACAATCAGCTAAAACCTCTAGTTCCTTGATAGCATAATGTTGCTGAAATAAAACAGAGTTGGGTTCATGAAAATACATTGTGCAATTACAGACACAATCAGCTAAAAGTAAAACCTCCAGTTCCTTGATAGCATAACGTTACTGAAATAAAAAGGGATTTTACGTCTTTTTAAAAACAGACAACGCCATACAACGAGAACCATTGGTAAGGGGGGGGGGG